ATTAAAGGAGAGCGAGTTGGCGGAGCGCCAAATCGAATGGTACTGACACGTCCCATCATCCGCAGCACACAGAGCTGCACTTTTTCGAAGGTGCGCACATGTCCTCAAATAAGTTTGCAGTTTTTGGTACAAAAGCTATGTTACCGAAAATCCTTTGGGGCAGGTCGGAAATCGCACGCTTGTGAGAGCTCTCGAAAATACCAACAGAAGTTTTGCATCCATAGATAACAAAATCTAGAAAATTTCCGCTGATGATTTTCTGATGTACTGGTCTGGAAGCCAATGCAAGCCTGGCATTTTGACAAATGGTCCAGCTTAGATTTCTATTTATCTGTCTATCATTCTTTGTGACGGCCGTCACGACAAATGCCGAAAAAATTCCATCCTACTTCTACTGAGAGATAGAAAGCATTGGCCCGTGCCTTGAATGGTCCTCACAAAAGATTGTGTAGGCCACCTCATGCTCTGAAGTTACTATGATTCCTAATGAAAAAAGAGTACATGGCTCATCCGGAGAGACACGTAATAACGTTGAAAGCTAAATCTTGTTTGATTCGTGTCAGCAATAGTTCAATTCAGGAACCATGTGGCTCAAATGTCACCTATAGCACTCGACTCCCTCTGAAATCGAAGATGTAACGGCACTCTTCACCGAATCGCTAATGGCGGAAGGACCACCAATCGGACTCCTAGGGGACCGTATGGGAAGCGTTCCATGACTTTATTTCACGATATCTTTCAAGGTTAGGGAAAAATAACCTTAGAAGTACACCGAATGTCGAATATTGGGGTTGGTCTGAGCGAAGGAACATCTAACTCAAGATCACTTCCAATGTGACGCAGGAATGTTTTTTAATCTAATTGGTCTAATATGTCACACCTCTGAGGAGAAACGCTACAGTAAAAATTTCTTGAAACAGACTAGATTCGCCCTCAAATGACAAATGAGACTTATCGGGCATTTTTCAATTGGAGTTCAATGAGCGTCTTGATGTCGTGCACGTGGCCCGTATTCCTGTATCACCTGTGCTCCCGCTGATCATCGAGTTCCTCGAGCGGACGCCAGTAACGTCTTTATTCGTCCCACTGACGTGCAAGAGTTGCTCAGTGGCTCTTCATGACATCGTTCACAGCTTTTAAGAACAAGCTGACTATCGCGAAGGCGTCGTACAGGTGTTCGCTTGACATCCCGTGGAATCCAGTCGGTGATCGCTCTGGTCCAGCGGTCGTCCTCGAAACGCATGACGTGCCCGGCCCACCTGATCTTAAAACCTTGGCAAATTCTGATCCTCTATTGTCGAGGGAGTGCGGAGCTCTGAAATTCCTCCTATGCGTGTAGCGGGAACTCCGAGCATCGCCTTTTCGATGGCGCGTTGAATGACGCTAAAGGCGTGCTCATCCTGCTTTTCCGAAGTTTTCCGAGGCGTAGATTAAAGCAGGGAGGACCGCGGAACCCAAGGGGTGAACGCAGAGCCTAGTGTTCTTCGTCTTCTTTGCCACTCCCCTATAATCCTAAAACTCACCAAGCGGTTGGCTCCTTCCCGCTCAGCTCTTGTGCTTAGTCGTTTTTCATATTGATTTCCAAGCCCAGGTACATACAGGGGGGGGGGCAAAAAAAGTCACTTTGCCTCATTGACATTCGAGGCGCTGTAAGTACACTTCAGTAATCGGACAATTCCACCACCATATTAAAGAGCATATTAAATACTATCATGACACTCCGCCACAGCCTTCTGGACGAGCGCCATCGAGAGATTCTGGCACGCGACCGCGATGTGGTGCCTGAGATCGATTTCTCCGCCACCGTAGACCACCCTATTGAACTCCGCCCGAACTGGGTCAATATTACATCTTCTCAGGCACGAAACGCCCTTCCATTCGAAGTAGGCGGGAGTTTTTCCAAAACCCTTCGATTCCATGTGGTGGCACCCAAACCTGTAGCAGTACAAGGTCTCCAAGAAGGTACGGCGACGACATGTAGGGAGGATATTCTTCTCGAGTTGCTCGATGTAACCGCCAGCGCTCACCTTCAGTCCGGGTCTACAAAGAAAATATCGGTCTTCCCATTCCAGGTACCCCGGTCCATACCATCAACTCGCGCCTCGGCGACTACGGTGAAGATGATGTCCTAGACCGTAGCGACGTTGACGGAAGCTGCTCGATGTTGGAGGTCTTCCAGATTGAGAGTACTGGTCTCCAGGTAGCTATCCATGGGTGACTCCACACTAGAAGTTTCGCAGCTGTTTGGAGGTGACATGAATTCCGAAGGTCTTCTCCAGTCAGGTTGCGACTGGAGATGACTTCATATTTTGGTGTACATGAAGGTGATGGGCGAGAGGACAGCTCCTGCTTATAGAGGAACATCTTGGGTATCTACCGCCCTGGTACTCGTATCCACATCCTCTGTCTGGGGTGCGAAAACTTTGCTGATATGTGACTTGTCAAAGTGACTTTTTTGGCCCCCCTGTATACCTAGAGCATTCAAAGATGTTAGTTTGTTGGATGAGGATGGGGTATCAGGAACCAAATCGTTCCTCATGAACATCGCCATCATTAGATTCAGCTGCAAACCAAATTTTCCACCTGGCCCCGCTGCGGGATAAAACCATTAGATGGCACACGGATTCCTTCCGAACTACTGGGATTGTTAATGGATGTCGAATATATGGCACATATAAGGGAGGGACTGGCAACAAGGCAACATTGAAAGCTTCATGCTGTTTGACTTCTGCCAGCAAGCGTTTATTTACGGGACTAACCAGCTCGAATTTCGCCTACACCACTCAGCCCCTCTGAAATCAAAGATATAACTGCGTCTTTTAACCGAGTTACTGAGGACCACCAAATCGGTATAGATCTGCTATTGAAGATCTCCCCTGATAGAACCCATAATATTGCTTCCATAACTATCGTAGCAATACGTACATATCTTTCAAGAAGAATTAACAACAAGAACACAAGAAGAATTCTCGACAGAATCGGAAATAAGCAAAATTTACTGAGTAGTGTGACAAGGATCAAGGAAAATACATACATAGATTCCTCCAGTAAACAAGCATAATTCGCTAAACTTACTATTGGTGAGCTCACAGCTCTCAATGAGATTACTGTGGATCAATTCCAGAGCAATAAATACTGTAATGATCAGCATGGGTGCACACACGTGGCGTCACTGGCACAGGGAACATAAGTCAACCTGTTGCCTTTCATTGAATATTTGCGTTGGGCGCGAAGTTAGAGACCAGATCGGGTTCCATGTCGTTATAACGCAGTGTGTGTTCATAAAAATAATCCTGAGTTTTGTGACGCCTACATCAATGACGAAGACTGTCGCTGCTGTGTAGAGGTAGCGAATTTGTAGCAAGATTCGCCTATTCAAACGTGCGGTCCAAGTTTACCATGCCTTCTCTTATCCCAGGAACAGTGACGGTCAGTGACGAAAACCTCTCGCCAAGGGACAGGAGGCGGACCAACTGGCATGGGCCCCATATCCCAGCGACGTCGGCGGACTGTGTGCTGGAGGGTGGTATGGAGCCCGCGCCCTCCTGCTTTGAGCGAGGCGCGATCATTTCAGTATCGCACTTGAAAAGAAAAAAAAATCAGTGGTGGGAACGCCGCGAGTTCGGTCGGGTCAGTCCACTCCTTTGAAAACGACCCGACTGATCGCTAACAACACTGTCTGATTGATACCAACAGCTTACGACTATTGCAGTTGCGCTCCTCGGCTTAGGGAGGGAGGGAGACATGTTGCGCTTTTGCTTGTTTCTTTTGCTAACCTCTGCCGAATTACAACGTTTCATTTGGGTGAGACTTGTTGACTCTTGTCAGGTGTAAACATGGCTATTACATAAGTTTACAAGACTTCACAGGTCTTCACAGGAGGCATTGGCAATTAACGTCAAGTGCCCCTACCAAGCTAAACTGAGCCGCAAACTAGCAAACTACTGAACGATAATTGAATGCGTAGCGCATAGATTCCATAGCGAGCGCCATCCATGAATCTTGACGTCGTGTGAGGTTTTTTCGATGTATAGCTGTAGCGGCATCTGAGATATTATAATGTTTCGGCTTTGTTGCTGAGCCCCTGAATGTGCAAGTAGGTTTTCTGTGGAAACCACACATAAGACATTACAACATTTAGACTGTGGCTACAGTAAGACGTCAGAAAAGGCCAGAGAGCAGGTCATGGTTGGAAGAAAAGTTAACCGTTCAAAGCAATTCTTTCGCTTCACCTTTGCATCTGGTGCAAGCTCTCGTACCTAGAAGCCCTTCTCCTACTTTTCTCTACTTCCAGTCTCCTGAACAGGATGGGATACCATACTTATAATTCACCAGAAACGTTTTTGTCCTTTCTTATTTTTTTCATAAGTTTTCCGTATCCTTCACTTGTATGTAAAGCATTGCCGTGGAGGAGTATGGTTTGGTCTTGTCGATGGGGTCTTATCAGTCAAATAGCCTCTTTCACGAGATACAGTTGGGCAATGTGAAGCTCCTTGTTGAGAGCGGCTTTCCCTTCAGGAGATTCCCACCGCAATGAATCTCTTGAGACACTATTCATCTATTTCAGAAATTCTTCAGCTACGAGGTGTGCATTCGTAACCGAAATCGCCGCTTTGCAAACCACTTTCGTGCTGTGTAGACGTCTATGACACCTTGTCCGTATACCCTGCAAAGGCCTAGGACTGCTTGGGCAGCGTATTGGTCTTGATGGAAAGCAAGTAAGAAGTGTAAGGTGTCGCGAAATCATTTTTTCCTCCAGGCTGTTCCATTGCTTAGCTCTCGAAATAACAAAAAATGGGTTACACAAAAAAAGATCAGCTTTATATTTTGGAGCAGAAAGGGTAAGGGGTCTATCGTAAGTATATGCTATATTTCTTCGGGAAAGCAAAAAATATAATAGTGGTAGAAAAAAGAAAAAAGCCAACAAATCATTTCTCGACCTCACAAATGAGAATGCAAAGGTTACAACCAGACAGAAGTAGGAGTATATGGAATCTTTATCAAATGATAAGTAAAAGGAAATTGATGAGGTTTGCAAGTTCCAACAGTACGAAGAAAACCAAGTTGATCACCACGTACGCCTTGTCCTCCTTCCTCTCCCTGAAAAAATAAAATCTGAAAGAGGTCGAGACCATGAAATGTGCGGGGTTTGGGCCTTACTTCTTTTCCCCTTTGCAGTCGTCACCCACTCCCAAGCGAGTGACTATCGTGCGCCTGATGCATGGTAGTGAAAGGACCACTATCAGTGCTGCTACCATGATACTCAGATTTACTATGATATAAATGCCTGGAAAAGTAAATAATACAAAGTGGAATTACTTCCAGGGATCCTGCTGACTTCCGTCATTGAAACCATCTTGCCCATCTGTGTCAACATTCATACAGCACGATTCAGTTTCCCTTTACGATCAGGACACGCCCTATGTTGGGGTGCACCATGGGGCTCGTAATCGGTCGTCGGAGCGGAGGGGAAGGGGGGGTGGGATCATGAATAGCCTAGGGAGAATCTCTCATTGTTGATTCACGCGCACCTGCCCCCTCCCCCCCACCCAGTCGGCGGCGCCGAAGAGCTGTTATTTATGATAGTTGAACGGAGATGTCTATCCCCTACCCGCTGAACTGCTCTATGGCAAATTTTTCGAAAAATTCGGTAAGTTTAAGTGTGGAAGCAGAGAGGGGGGAGCGTTCAGGAAGCAAAACTTCAAGGGGGGGGGGGGTAGGCCCCAGAGGAAACTCCCCCTTTCAGAGCGTGATTGTGACGCCTCCGTCTACAGTTCAACTTCCAATAAACTTTTCTTACATGTTTGCTAGAACATATTCTCATCTACAGAACGGAATCAGATTGTCAAACGTAGCGCAAAAATTTCAGTGTTATCATACACTTGGGACATTTGTGGAAGACTCACCGATTTTTGGCAACTTCTCCGTTCTAGGTAAAGCTGTGGCAAGAATTCCAAGTACAAACGTTAATGACATAATATTCGTCAAAGCCATTCCAAGCTGAAATTGTAGTTACTGGTTTGTGTTCACAGGCCATACAAAACGAAGGTTAAGGCAAAGAATGGGTGTTTTATGGTGGCGTCGGCGCTCTCTAACCGTTTACCAAAACGCCCGATTTTTCCTTGAGACGAATTTTTCCGATGGTTGGTTTTTCCCGTTCCACGCCCGGCATACTTCTTACTATCAGGGGTAGCCTGAAAGGCTTCTAATTCTGGTAGTTGATAGGAGGCCTCCTCCCCACCTTCTTCGCAGCATGCATATGTAGAGAGAGAGTGTCGTTCCGGAGGAGGGAATTTGCTGGATGGTCGTACCTACACTTCCCCTTAAACTCATCTATCCCGAGGTTATTACAGTGTGTGAGGTTCTATTCGCCCCACACGAGCTTGGTCAGAGTCTGATGAATAAATGCATTTTTGATTTTGCATCACTGGTTTTCAGAAACGACCAGGAAACTAGTTCTTCAGCACGCAAGTGTTACATTTTAATGTGGAATCACCACGAAGCGAATCTGACCGGTGTCAGTCAAAGTTGGTGAACGCGCCCGGTTAAATGGGCGTATCATACATGATGAGGCATAGTCACGTCAAGGCCTGCTCACCCCATCTCAAAAAGCTTTTCCCATACAAGAATCCTCGCTGATTCCCTCTTCCCTATGTCTCTCCTCACCCTTTCTATACTAGCCATTAACTCTAGCTATTTGCTACAATTAACTTCACACTTCATCTTAAATCGAACTGGAAATCGACTGCATGGTTCTCGTCTTCTTTCCCATTCTTCTTCATCATTGAAAATCACGCCCTATTCTCCTCCACCCACTATCAAGCATTTCCGGGCCCACTGTTGATGCTCACCTTCCCCATACTATCAGCAGTTTTCAGAAACACTCCCATAATAGAAAGTACGTTGATGACAAATGACGGCATTATGATCATCGTGATATAGAATGATGGATTTCGTTTCATCGAAAATATGTAGCTGCTCTGAAATGTAACATTATATGAAGAGCATTTAGCAGCATTTACTTAACGTGTGCGAATTTTCCAGAAAGTTCTTTTGTAATCGCTAATCGGCTACTTTTAATATTACAGTGCTGAATGAAGGTTCTGTTATGCTGCCAGTTTGGGCACTAGTCCGCTGGAGAGGTACATATTTCACAGACTCCCGCCACCGCGCCGTACAGTTTTGTTGTCTTGTAAAATCTACTAAGGGTAAAGAATTTTGCAGTTCCATTTGCGTGCCATTCCTTTTATCAATGTTGTATGGATGCCAAAAGGTAGGGGAAACGAAACAAAAACACGAAGTGAGGACTTCAGCTTTGGAACAGATGGGAGGAGGGGTAAGCAAGTAGTAGTAAGTAGCCGCTCAGGTAATCTGGCCATATTGGGCTTTTGCTGCACGCCAGGATAGTTAGAATGGTGCCACGGCTTCCTCATCATGGTAATGAGGACCCTTTGCAGGATTTATCAGTCA